CAGCTGGAGTCACACTCTTCTAAATTTAGCATTAGCTATGTAACAGTGATGATAATGGTGAAACGGATACTAATAGTTCTGGAGTCTGGCAGCATGCCATCCGCAACGAGGATCCAGGGAAACCTAAGAGACAAGGGAGCACGGAGACTGTGGTTGTTGACTTTAATGGGACATAATTTAAAGTTAGTGTTCGTTAAAATTAGAACAGATAGAGGAGTGAGCTCCTCTGTGCCAGTTTCCTCAGCAGTCTAAGCCTACAGCAGAAAAACTAAGAGCTGGTCTAAGTCTGAGCTGGCCATAACAACCATAAATCATAACAAAAAATAAAGTTTTAGGCCTGCTGTTAAAAGACAATAGAGTGTCTGCCTCCTAGACCCTGTTTCATACTGATAACTGATGATTTCTAGAGACTCTAGGTGGGTAAGCAGACCTGCATGCAGGAAGTGTAATGTCTACAGCTCTTAAGAATTGGATGATACCGCAAGAGAAGACGGATTTTGATTTATACCCTAGATTTTATGGGGAGACAAAGAGACATCCTGATAAAAGGGAGTTACAACGATCCTACGTAGAGACAGCAAAAGCACTGACCTTTTCTTTCCACTGGATGTGTCTGATTTTGTGATATAGAGCTGGTGAAAAAGGCTATTACTGAAATTTTGGGATGTTTGGGAGTTGTGAAAGAAATACTGACTAACAAGAACTCCTTGATTCCTAACAATGGTGCTTGGTGTCAGATTAGCACATCCACCAGCAGCGGCCTGGTGGCTGTCTAGCACGAGTCTGGTCCTACCCAAGGTTTCTGCCTGTTAAAAGGAAGTTTTTCCTTGCCACTGTCACTCATGTTAGATAAGATGGACCAAATCTCATCATAGGTTGGGTCTTGGTAATTCATCAAACAATGAGCGTGGTCTCTACCTGCTCTTTTTCTTTGGAAAGTGTCTTGAGATGACGACTGTTGTGAATTGGCGCGGTATGAATAAAATTTGATTGATTGACATCATTTAAAAGTTTTTCTCTAAGGTGTTTGAGACTTGAGTTGTTGGAGTTGAGCCGCAAAACATTTTTGGTCATCCAGGAAACTTTATAAAGTCCTCATGGTATTACAAAAAGGAGCCATATATAAGGTGAAAAGAAGTGGGCCGAGCTCTAAACCTTGTGGAACTCCAGGAATAACTATTTGCTCCTATGATACCAAATAATCATTTTAGCTTTTACAACAGGATTTGAAGAATAAACAAGACATGCTACATAGAGAAGCTCGCTGTCTGAAACCATCGGCTGATCAATTTACTCTCAACAGGGCAGTCTCGGAGCTGTGGTGGACTTTGCATCTCGACTGAAATTCCTCAAATAAACCGCTATCAATGAGGACGTCACAGAGCGTGATTAGCCTCAACTTTCTCCAGGATTTTGAAACACATCCATAGACAAGCATTTCTTCAACTAAATTCAGTGTTTTATTCATCAGCAATTTAGAGAGATTCAAGTGAGCAATATTTAAACCAATGCCATCTGCACATTTTAAAAATGCCAACGGTGAATAGATTCAGCCCGCATGAGGCATCTGTCAATCAAGATTTACAGCTCTCTAAGGAGAGTCGCCTGCAGCACAAATCAATTCAACATATTGAGCTGTTCCAGAGAGAAGTTAGCACCCATGCTAACATCCCAATCTGACAGGTGTGCTACATAAAACCTAAAGTTTATACATCACCAAGCCATAAAACTGTCTGGTCTACAGCTATTCAGCTCCCACACACAATCAGTCTGGACATCAAATCAATATCCCTCAGCTCAATTACCCCATGAGTGACGGATGCTGTGAGACACGTATGGAGGCAGTAATAGAGTCATGACGGAGGAGACGTCCTTCCTCAGAGCTGATTTCGTCTGGTTTTGTCCCTCTTCTACTTTCTTCTGTCTTTCATAAAATGGAAATTAGGGCTGATCGCTTCTGAAGCTTCCCATTGTTCTCGGCAAAAAAAAAAGCTCTTTATAACTCAATTGATTCTTTTCTGTGGGGTCTTTTGCAGATATGAGAGAGCTTTCGGCCTCGTCCAACTAAACTAAAAGTAAGAATTTTCCTTCATTACCCATTTTGAGCAATAAATTCATTTCATGGGGCATTATTAGGACCAGGCATCAGCCCGTCAGGACCGGTCATTTATCCCTAACGAGAAGGTCATCAGCCATCCTTTTACCTGTGTGGAGCTGAGATAGCAGAGAGAAAAATTCTGCCAACACTAGAGATTATTGGAGAATGGCCTCTAAGTGGCTCTCAATTATTAAGCCAATTTCCTCCTCTTATGAATTTCGCTGTTTCAAAGCACTTACTGAAGCTGTAAATCATCGCTAATGACACTGCCGTCCGTCCTCCATAAAATACGACTTAATCCAGCTTTAGTGGGCCATCATGAAGTTGTAAAAGAATAACCCATCATGACATATTGTTGGCAGCGGTTGGAAATTGTAATTATATCTTCATTAGTTATTTTTGCTAATGGTTCGACTGCAGCGACAGTCGGCGGTGTTTACCCGGAGCTGCGACAGGTGTTGCAGTTGGTATTGATTCATCGGTAGAGCAGAGAGGGTAGCCAATAGCTGATGGTGAAGCTTAGAAACACCCTCCAGACTGACTGCTGGGAAGCAGGTGGGCGTCAGCTGCCCTCATACATCACAGCGCTAACAGCCTCTTCTGCAGACAGAGAGGGGAAAAAAAGTGCTTGAGGCGAGAGCTGGAAAAGATGTCAATAGAAATGAGACAAAAAGAGAGACAGAGAAATACAGAAAGAGAAAGAACAGCCAGGCCTGAAAAACAGATCAAACCGGAGAGGAGAGGGAAAAAAAAGGAAAGAAGGTGATGTAAGAAGAAAAAGCCGGCTGTAAGTAAAACAAAGGAGTCAGCTGCTGGAGTCGTGCACGAACAGCTGGTGCCAAAAACAGAGTTTGAGGACAAAGTGGGTTCTGTTTGGACTGGAGCCGGGCCAAAGCTGGGCCGGGTTAGCAGGCAGGGAGCGCCGCCAACACCAGAAGAGGCCTACGGGAGGATCATTATATAACCAAGAGGGGAAACCTCACAGGCACAACAGAGATGCTCTTGACTCCCTAATGATATGGCTCGGTTTAAACCTATGTCAAAGGGGAAGGCAGGGAGACATTAAAAAGAGAGAAAGGCGTCTATAAAAAGAACAGGGAGAAGAGAAAGTGGAGAGTGGAGAATGCAGTCCATTGTTTATCCATTAACCGCTGCAGCAGAAACCACACAGCCTGCACTCTCTCAATATTTTCCTGCTTCAGATTCAACCACACACTGATTCAGACCACTGTGTAATTACACCGTATGGAAATTCTGCCTATTGCACAACAGGTGACTACGATTGGATGGAAAATATTGTTAAAAAACTAAAGTTTCAGAGGCTTCTGTGAAAGGAGCAGAAAATGTTTCATTACTTCCTGCTTTCTGTTTTGACAAAACTTTGTTTTTTGGGTGCTCAAAATGTAAAAATCAGTTTTTCCTGAACGGGGAGAAACAGGGAGAACACGTCCTCCTTGAATCCTGACTTGAGAACAGTGATGTGCCCACTTAACGACTAATCATCATCTTCACCTGCGACTCGTGTGAAACACCATGACTCTGCCCTGCAGCAGCTTCACATGCTTTAAGTCAAATTCCAACATGGAAGTATACTGCACCTGAGCAGGGCGACCATTTACGCATGTTCTGACTGTCTGATGTCTTGACTTTTGAATGCGCTCTCTTAGTTTTGTTGCATCTCTAATAATAAACCTCCCAACACCTGTCATAAGATCAAAACCAAATGAGTGAAACCTGCATATTTCCAATTACCGCACAACTTGTAATCACTTTCCTTTCCAGCAACCGTACGTTGCTGCATTTGCTTGTGGATGCAAGTGTAATCATAACAGCATGATCCAGTCTATAGCATTTAATTAGCTCTCTATCATTCAGTGTTTGGAGTGCATTACTCCTGTTTCATCGTCTTTCTGCTATTTCCTCCTCAGCTTGAGGAGCCTCTTGAAAGTCCTCCTCACTCCTCTGAACAGTTTTTCACCGTAGGAGCTCTCTGAAGCGCTAAAATGCTTTGTGAAGAACTTTTATCTTTGCATAAGTCTGAACTTCCAGGGTAAATTCTCAGAAAATGTCATTGTCGCGAGCCGGCGCATGCTCAGCATTGGCTCAAAGATCCGTCTGTATATGCAGGAAGTGTTACCCAAGAAAGAGAATGAGGGCAAGACAGACCTGGATCTCATATTTCCTAACCTGTTGCTCTTATTAAACTCAGGTATCTTCTCGATTAGCTGCCAAAAGGGAAAATTCTCATTTTTCAATAATGACACTTTCTCCAGAGAGAGCAGAAACGCCAGGTGCTCAAGGCCTCTTTGCTCTGCAGGTATAATGGTATTGTACTGATCTAAAAACCCAAAGAAGTGTTTCACCAGGTACAAAATTTAACCCTCTCAAGGTGAAGTTTTTTGTATCTTTTACAATACCATAAAGTCTGTAAAAGAGAATAATTAAGTTCAACATTTTTGCACAAAAGTTGTTGAATACATGCAAATCAGATCTGTCTGGGTTTGTCTGGCTTCGTTCAGGGAAGTTTATAAAATCCTTCAAATGCCCGCGGTTTTGTCCGTACATTTCGATTTTGTGTCAAGTGGACTTAGTGAGTTAGAAGCATTCAATCCAACTTGAAAAATTCTCAAAATTGACTCCGTGCGACTCCGTGACTCCGCCCCCGTGTGATTGTGTCCTCTTTTTGGGAAGTCAGAATACGGTCACCCTAATCATTGTGTTAAGATCTTTTGGGAATTTGAAGTTGTTGAACCCATCCATTGGGGCACTCAGTATCTTTACAGCACTTTTCCGTCTGCAAACTCAAATTACACATCGCCACATACTTTCATGAGTGTTTTCAATAATTTCTGTGTTTTTAATGAAGACAGAGAAAATGAGAGAAACAACGATAGAGAGGACATTTTTGAGACTGAAGACAAAGTAATCGGATTCTAAAATATCTGTGTAGATGTAGCCTCAAGATTTCATCCTGTCAGAGTTTTGGAGTCTTGCCTTTTTGTTGTCACTTTGTGTATTTGCAGTCATGCAGTAGGGTTTTGTTTTTATGTTTTTTTCACTGTAATTTGGTTCCTTTTTTTTCAGCTGGTATCTGACTGTAATCATTCCATGTGTCATTGCTGTCATGTTGTCTCTCCTTGGCTGCTCTCTGTTCATTTCCTCTCATTTCTGTGATGCTGTCCTGGTGTTTTGTTTCCTCACCAATCCTTCAAACTGTGATTCTGATCCAAAAGGCCCCATGACCACTTGAGTCCATCCCTGAATCCTTTCACGCTTGTATAAAGAAACTAACAGCACAGTTTGTGGACTTTTCTGTTAATCTGAGCAGCATCAATGGTGGCCATTTTTTCACCTGTTCTGATTTCGTGGTGTGTTTTGACCCGTTCTGTTGGATCTTTCACAAGCTGCAGCCTCGGACAGCTGCAGGAGGCAGCTGCTGGTCTGTTGAAGGGTACAAACCCAAGCAGTGTGCGGCTTCATGTCGCACTTCATGCTCACCCTCTGATGGGATGGCAGAGGGGCGATCAGCAGACATGCCCAGACTTGTTCCTAATTGTTCATTGGGGGGGCTCAAATCCGACTAATTCTCTATCAGTTTTCTTCTGGTTTCCTTGTAGGTGATTATCTTTCATAAGCTGACATGGGGTCACCGCGGTGTCATGTTGACATTGGGATAATAGGGCTAATGTCAAGTGCATTTGGGGTATCTGTAAAGCCATGTGTTTAGCTTGCAGCATGGTGTTCCTGACCTCTCCCACCGACACACATTAGCGCCCCTCATTCCTCCGTGAGCATTAAAAAAAACTTGCACAAATGAGTTCTGACTGCAAAATACAGTGAACATGAAGTGATAATCACCGTCCTTATACTTGCTTTTACTCTCTTTTATCCTTTCTGTGGATGTGGAGCTGCTGGAGCATGCAGTGAAGTGTTAACATGATGAGCTCTGCAGAAAGACGAGGCTTGTTAGCGAGGACGGATATCCCTGAGTCAGACTGGATTGGGAATACTGCACCGAGTCAAAGTGAATCAAAGTAATCATCAGTCTGGGCGTCTCTTGTAACGGACTGCTTGGGGGAAGCTAGCAGCACAAAAAAGTATTTTTTTGAGGTGTGATATTAATCGTAGGAACAATTCAAAATGATTATTTATAATGAGGAAAAGATGTTCAAGTGCTAGGTCTTACCGAGACTGGAAAAGAGGAACAAATTAAATCAGATCAAACCTGAAACATCTGCTCCTGTCTCATCAGCACTCAAAGCAGCTCTGCAGAAATGGATGTTTCCGTGGCTCGTGCTCTTTTCGGGATGCTGCAATAAAAGTCGGTAAAATGTGACAGCAGCAGACATAAAACACTTTAATGGACACCCACTCTTCTCCAACACGCTCACTTTGAATTTCAATCATCTGATGCCAGAGTGGCACACGTGTTGTGGCGTTTTCTTAAAAGTCATAAAAACAAGTGCGACAGAATATCAAACCAGGAGGCATTTAGAGCTCATTGACACATTATTACACGCCGCATTAGCTTTTATTTTGAATGACGCATTATTGAACAAAGTAAAGTACATCTTTTAAAATCAGGAGTTGGATTTCAGGGCAGTGACTGGAAAGACCGTGACTACATAATATTTTTTATACTCTTAACAGACTTTATATCGAGTCACGTACAAGTACAAAGACACATTTATCACCTGGATATGATTTTCTCTCCACCTCATCAAATTAGAGATGCAGAAAGACAGAGATGGACAGGTCCATGGCAGCAAAACGTCTGCAGCAGCGATCCAGAGGAACCTACAGCATGATGGAGCTCAAGGACTCCAGAAAAGACTGGATTAGAGACTCCAACTCGTGATTTCCACCGCATCCGGAACAGCTCTAATCAGGAACGGCAGCGATTTTTCGCCTTCCACCAATTCCCACCGGATACGTTTGCAAGGTGAATTTTGTGGTGGATTGCGGACAGCAGGAATCGCGAGAACTCACAAGAACCCGCGGATTCACGTGCGATCGCGTGATAACAAGTTGTCTCTTAGTCGCAGAGGCTAACCATATAAGCAGTAGATTGTGTCCTTCCAGAGGAGTAAATTCACTCCTACACTTATAAAATCAGCATCTCCTCATCTATGGTGTCATCCTTGCACTTGTTCGTCCCCGCCTGTTTGCATGGTGTGAAATACAATCCGCCTGAAACACGGAGTGTTTTATTTTGAAAAGAAGCTGGATGTTTTATTTTGTGTCTGTGCCCGACTTCCTTTCAAGCACAGATTAATCTGTGCTGAATATATCCAGCATGCTCTGGTGTCCAGAAAAATAGAACTCTTGCGATCTTCAGTGGAGTCTGGTAGTTCATAGCGGAACGAAAAGAAGCTGGTGAAAATTGACACATTAACTTGAATGGTTACGATCAGCTACAATTGGCTAATACGGCCTTTTCGTAGCCATTCCAGGTGAGATGGAAATTGGGGGTAGGGGGAAAAGTTGATTTACAGACAGAGAGAGGATGGAGAAGAAGAGAAAGGTGCTCAACGTGCCCGGCAGTCTTCACCTGTAGCAGCATAATAATGAGCTGGCCCAGGCCTGAACCAGCCCTGACTGTAAGCTTTAAGCCTACTCTTAAAGGTAGAGAGAGTGTCTGCTCTCCACATCTCGACTGGTAGATAACTCCAGAGGAGAGGGGCCTGATAATTGAAAACTCCACCACCCAGACCAATGTATCCCCTCTCCCTGTAATCTGATTTTGACTGTACGTAAATGATACTGACTGCTTAAATGCTGGTCCCAATTTTCATGAAAGTCGAAGCCAAACACACAGTGATGTGCAGGTGCAGTTTGCTGTTTTGGATGCAGATCCCTGTTCCCTTGTTATGACCCAGGTCTCATTCACAGCTTCACATGATCAGTCAGGTTGGTATTCATTCTCCTTTCTTCTGAACCTCACAGTCTTGAATCTCAGGCGAACAGCTCCCACTCCTTCCTCAGAAAAACTGAAGCTCTTTTTTTGATCATTTCCTTTTAAGCTACAAGCTTCACTCACCCTCAGCAGCTCCACGGAGCTGGCAGAGCGAGCAGTAAAAAGGTTTGTGCTGGTCTCAATGAGCGGACTCACTGGGTTGTACTACAATCTCCTCTTTGTTTCCTCTCACTCTAATGGCTTCTTTATCATTTCTTCCTCTGTTCAAAGGCCATGCAGTACTTGACTGGCTGTAAATCTGTTTGGAGACTAATCTGCCACTACCGACCAGCTGCTCTCTTGGCACTGGCTGGGGCCAACATTCCCGTTGCTATGGAGATAACCAGTCATGCCAGTTACACATAAGGCCTGGCACAACGCCGAGCAGGCCGTGTGTAGTAAGCGCGCGCTTGCTCGTGTGTTTGTGTATGTCCGTGCGTGTGGAGTTAGCCCGGATAATGTGCGTCTGTATTGTTAGGAGTCGAACCGTGTGGTCTGTTAACCGCCAAAGGAAAAAAAAAAAAGAAAGGTTGTTGATTAACTGACATTACCAGCTGTTTATCGGCCTGAGCCTGTTAGGTGTTACAGTCTGTATTAGATTCCGCTCTGGGATTGTGTTTGTACACAAAAGGAGCAGAAGAGTTGGCAAAAGTCTGTCAAATGTTGCCTTTTGTTTCAGCGGCTAATTGTCGAACATAAAGTCTGTTCTGCTTAATCCTATCTGCAGACACAGGACTGATGGAGGCAACCAGGTGAAACCCTGAATTAGACCCTGTATACACGCTATATAGAGACAAGTCACCTGGATCACATCACTCAACTAGAGACTGAAAAAAAGGGAAATGAGCGACAACAAAAACATCGTAAACAACTAGTGTACGACCAGCAAGAGCTTTACGGTGTAAAACAGGTGGAGGTAGTTTGCGGACAATTTACTTGAAGCTCCTGTGAGGAGTTTTTTGACATTCATGAGATAGACTTAAATTTATGTTTTTATGCTATATACCACTGAGCATTTTTTGGTCTGTAAGAGGTCTGATAGACGTCTAAATGTAGCCTAGATGACTGGTCTAAAATCAGACTACCACAGGTCTAAAAATCAAAGTTTTTTAGACGTCTAAATTTAGACCAAGTCTAAATCTGGGCTATATCCATACTACACTGTACATTGCTCAACGGTAATCATAATTATTTTGGTTAAGTACTTGGAGATCAGTTATGCAACTCAGAGTTGCTTTTTGAAATAAATAGTTATCAAATAATGGGTTAAAGTGCAATGTCTAAATTCCATCTAAAAATATACCGAATCTAGACGGTTGAAATTAAGTCTAAAAAAAAACTAGACATCTAATAGACGTCTATTGCTCAGTCGGATAATAGCAAACAAGAGCATCAGAAACAATATTGGAAGGAAAAAATGTAAGGAAAGCCCAGATTTTACATTTTTACATAAAAATATTCATAATAAATTGTTGATTTCTCTGTCAAAAGTCACAATGACGAAATTTATTTCTTCAGCAGACACGACTCAACCATAGAGGACAAAAAAAAGCAATACTGTTTTGTCCACAGGGGGCGCCAAAATTGACACAGATCTTAAGTTCCTCTCAGTAACTTTAAGCAAAATCATTACACAGTTTGTAGCTCGAAAAAATCTCATTTGGACACAATGCTGTGAAGAAAAGAGCATAAATCCCATCAAAACTTAGAAAAGTTGTAAAAATAAGTTATGTAGGTAGTAGTGCAATGGGTTTTGAACAAGAACCTGACCAGGTCACATGTAAAACAGAATACCAGCCCCACATAGGGCTCGCTTCCAACACAAGATCTAACTGTAACGTACAAGTTAATTCTGATATATTAGCATCGGTGTTAAACAAAAGGGGGAGTTCCCAACATAAGAGCTATTCAGTGACACATTTCGAAAAATTAGGAAAGACACCACTATCTGAGGGCAGAGACAAAAGCAATCAATCACAGATAAATTGGACAGGGGCGACTGAGCTACATCTTTTTATATGACAACTACATGGAAGATGTGCTTTAAACATTTCTTTGCATCTTTTTTATCATGTTCCCAAAATTTCTTTACAAAAATCTGAATATTCAGCACTTAAATCTTTCAAGTATAAACAGACCACAAACTTACTGATTTATTGTCGTATTTTTTACTCACATTTAAAGCAGCTTAATTTGTGCAACATCTAAAAAGTCTGAGATCATTAATTCATCCATCAATCGATTATCCATCTACCCATCCTAACGTCATCAACCCATCCATCCATCTACCCATTATCCATACATCCATTCTATCCATCATCTATCCATCATCACTACAGCCTTTGTCCATTATCCAGCCATCCAACCATTCATCTAACCATCTAACCATCCATCCATCTAGTTTTTCTGTTAAGGGGGGCCAGAGCCAATCTCAGAATATTCCTCTTGATTTGCACAATTTGTTAAAAAAAAGAGCATACACTTCTAGCTGAAATATTCCTGTAAATGGATGAAAATCTGCACTGTAAGAAACTTAGAAATGAAACCCTCTCAGTGTTTTCATGTTCTTGCTGCATTCGGTTGAAATTTGCAAGTGCAGCACAAAAAGTGTCACAAACTGAACCTCTGATATCTAGAGATGCGGTCTGTGAAAGGTGCTGAGAGTGAAGCATCAAAGTATTTAACTTTAGGTCTTGTGAGTCACACAGTTTAACGCAGGACACAAAAAAGGTAAAAACAGACTGAACCTATTCTTGTCCGTCTTGTACACGCCTAACCTGCATCAATTTTTTTGATCCTCCTGTGTTTTCTAGGTATGCAGGGGGCCTTTCTCTGAACCTGTGTTGCTTCGTGCGCAGGCAAGGAAACAGCTGTGGTTTGGTTGCTGCGGAAACCAGGTGAGAGCATGTGCTGTGTGTGTGCTCTGGCGATGACATCACACATTCCATGACGTGGACGTGGCAACGGTGGAAGGCAGAGAGGAGAGGTGAGCGGGCTGTATGAGACTCTGCTGGGTTTACATGCGTTTAGTGTTCGATTTGACATCTGTGGGGGAAACAAATTAAGGAAACTGTACTGTCTGACAATATCATATCCCCTGTTACACTCTGTTCTACTGAGGTTTGTATAAATATGTCATTTGAAATAGCTTCAATCACGTTTTTGGAAACCAAAATCTTGGAGCCAGTCGCTTTCAGGTAGTGATTCTCAATAAAAGACCCCTGCAAAGACTTTTTTCATGCACTATAATTTACGGTAAATTAAACTTGAAGGGATATTCTGGCGCAAGATTAATTTAGGGTCAAACACACCATAACACTGAGTTAGACACCTCCTCGAGAGTTGAATGTTGCCGACCGTTTGCTTCTTTAGTAATACCAATTTTAGTAACGACCGCATGATAGCAATACACAGCGGTCTGAGGAACCACGCGCTCAACCAAAACACCACTCTATAGCCACAAATAATGCTCAGACCAGCACCTAACTTCATCAACAGTATATATAGCATCCCAGCCACAGCACTAGCCACCAAACAACTTTTTTAGTTTTGCCTAATTTCTTTAGCAAAGAGACTACACACAACTCAGCTACTCTGCAGTAGGTAACTGCAGCGGGGTTACGCAGCTCAAGGAAGAACATTTATGATCATTTCTTCATGGAAATGCAATCAGACCGAGACTCTAAGGCAGACAAACTACCACGTCCGCAGAGCAAAATGAGTAATATGATGATTATTACCTTAAGGAATTGATAAAGTAATAACTTAATTTTATGCTGGAATATCCTTTTTATAAACGACCATATGTTTCTATTAAAGGTGAAATGAAATCACCCCTTCAAATATGTCTGCAAAATAAACACCCGCCAATCTTGGTTCAGTACATCCTTCAGAGTAGCACTTGTTTATTTGTTTCTAGTAAGTCTCTGCTTCACTCTAAATCTTCTTTTCACCATCATTGTAAGATTTTTGTTAGTGATGAAGATCATTTGGCCAAGACTTATACGGCATTCCAGTTACCTCGGAAGTTGGATGTCGGAGCTGGGAATGACGTTACATCCGAGTTGACGCCGTTCCAGTTGACAAGTTGGAAAACCAAGATGGACGCCTACAGTTACCTGTTGTTAGCTGTTGTTTACAATTGTCAGCTATGGTTGGCCATTGTCAGCTGTTAGCGGTTGTTAGTTGTTCGCGATACCGGTTGTAAACAACGCATGTCACAGTATTTTACTCTTACAAACACCTTAGCACCGTGTTCACACTTAGATGTTGGGCAGTACAACATATACCACTTATTCAATTTCACAAAAACAAAAGTGCTAATAAATAATACCTTATGGGAGCTTTTACTGTTACTCTTTACTTTTGATGCACTGTGCTGCCATCTTGGATGATGACGTTGTTGTCAAGTCGGGGTTGGTGAGGATCGTCTGACTTTCTGTGTTGGAAATCCGACTTCAGGGGGCGTTCCAGATGAATTTTTGACTCGGAGCTCGGAAATTCGCACTTTCAAGTACAACTGGAACGCAGCATTACTTCTTCTACGTTGCTGTTACTCACAGTAAGACAAGTAACCTCTTAAGACAGTTGGTGTTGAGATACAATATCACAATAGCCAATTGTGTGCTGCACTTGTATGCATTTATCCGTTTAAAGCAAACAATTGAAGCTAAATTGTCCGCTAATGAATGCCTTATGGAAGCCAGGTTCACAATACAGCTAATGCATTCACCCTGTTTGGACGGTTTTCCTCTATACAGACAATGCTGGATGAAATGTCAAAATCTGGTCCTGCACCAGAAGATTCTACAATAAATCAGAAAATGTAAATATGATATTTGAGCTCCATATGATATTTGTGCTGAAGTAAAGAGAGCTTGGAAATGTTCGAGGGATGGAAATATTGTTGAACTGCGAGCAGGAAACATTTCCCACCAGGTCAGTCACTACAGAAAAGGAGTATTTTTGAATTTTTACAAAAAAGGTACACTTTTGAACATTACCTTGTTCCTAAAAACTACACACAGGAGGATTTATGAGGACTACTAAAAGCCTGTTAAACCCCTCAGCCACTCCTTTATCACCTGCCTCCATTTTGCTCAGCTGCAGATAATAAAAAACAGGCTGAATTTCCTCTCACCTGGCACTCAAACATGGATTTCCAGCTTCCTGTTCTGCAGATGTGATTACTTTTAGATTGAAGTCTCCCCTTCCAGACACTGGAAAGTCTATTACAGTCTGCTATTCAGGTTTAGCTGTGTCTCTCAGCAGGTATCACTAAGGATGAACCCCTTAAGCTGCTTTTCACAGCGCTAACAAAACAGCAATATGTCCTGTGATGAGCCGATGAATCGGTGGTCAATAGAGCTACAGGAGACTTTGGTGCTTTAATCTCGGGACATTAGCACTTGAGAATAGATGAGAAAATGAGAGATAAGAAAGCATACAGTATAAGACGGGAGAATACGCCGCTGTGACGCACTCAACAAGGAAAATTCATCAAATCACAGCACACACAAAAGCAACAGTCCCCATATTTTTTATGGATCTACAAATGTGCGAAGCTTGCCAAGTGTCCAAGAGGGTAATTGAATGAAGCTGTGATTAAATGAGCCAGGCATGAGTGTAGTCATAGTCTTCTAAATTAATCCTTGCACCCTGATTTGCATGCATTCAAATGCACACTGTCATCAGAATAAGACGACAGGAACATGCGTGGAAATGATTGTCGGTGACTTGCCGATGCCAGCTCTCCTCTTTAGTCTGTATTAATCCCCAGCTCCTGGCCCGGGGCCATGGCGGGAATGCGTACTGGAAGACGGCCTGCGTGCCCTCTCTCAGCTGCCTCCTAATCTTACCCCCCATCCTGCAGGCTTGCTCCGACCCCTCAGCCCTGCTTGTGCGGTCCAGCCAATCTTTTTTCCTCCAGGTCTCTCCTGCCCCCTAAAGCACGAAAGGCAGAATCGGCCAGCAATGGTCACTTCTGCGACTGATTTCTTGAGGTATTTCTGGAAAATTCCACATA